GTGAAGCGAGCGTGCGACCGGGACCTGGGCTCCCGCGGGCTTTCACCGAGGCGTCCATTGCGTTTAATTCCCCGGGAAACGAGCGCTCCGCGTCGGAGCCAGCTGGGAGACGTGCAGGGCCGACGGCGAGGGTGCTCTGCCCCGCCGCACTGAGTCAGGCCGCCGTCCCCAGAGCCCGGCGCCGGGGAAGCTGGGTCCTCCCGACGGTGGGACCTGCCACCCGGCCGGTGGGCGGGCCTCGCCGCTCCGCACGGATCCCTCCGCCGCCTCGGGTCCTTCCGCGCCAAGTAGTGCGCCGCCGGCCGCCAACGCGGGCCGCGGGGACCCGGCCGAACGGCGTGCGGACGGCCGCCGGGTGAGGCGTCCCCACAGTGGAGGGTCGCTTGGGTGGGCCGTGTCTTCATCTGCGCGGTCGGGGACACCGTGCGGCCGAGCGCTAGGAGCTGGGAGAGCACCGGTGGCCGACCGCGGCGGGGGAGGCAGGTGCCGAAGCCGCCCCGCCCCCACCGCCGGCCGGAACAGGAAGCGGCGCGGCCAGGCCTCCCTGGGCGGGGGCGCCCGGGCTCGGGAGGCGCGTGACCTAGTTCGTCCCGGTGTAGGTTTGACAGGTTGTCAGCCCGCTCCCCGCCCCCACCGCCTTCCGGGTTCCCCTCGCGGGCGTCGGGCCGAGGGTCACCCGCTCTCTCGGCCGCGGCCTCGGCCTCCTATTGGCCCTCTCTCTGCCTGCCGTTCCGCCACGCCTCCGCCTCGGCCTCTCATTGGTCCTCGTGCCGCCGACTCCCTCCCGTTGGTGCAGGGCGGCCCCCCCGCCCCGCCTCCACTGGCCGGCCCCTGGGGGGAGCCGAGCCCCGCTGGCCGCTCGCTTGCGGTTCCTGCGGGCGTCTGCCGCCGCCGGCGCCCTCGTCCTTCCCGTCCAGTCCTGCCCTCGCTTCTGCCGCTCCAAGGGCTTCCCGTCTCCCCGTCTCTCCTTGCCCTGCGCCCCGGGAGCCGGAGCCCCGAGCGGCTGCACCCGCACGGCCCTGCCCCGCCGGACCCTGGGGCCCCGCGTCCAGCGCTGCCCACTCGCTCCTCCCTGCCCCGTCCTCCGCTTGGCGTCACTTCGCAGTTCCCTTTCTTCCCTGAGTCGGAGGCGGCGGAAGCCGTCCCGGGGCTTCCTCTCGGTGTCCAGTGGGCGGGGGTCTCGGCGCGCCCTCCTTTCTCCCCCCGCCCTGCAGTTCCTCCCCGGCTCAGCCACGGGGACAGACCCCCCAGCTAGCACGGAGGCACGGGATACACGTGACAAATATCTAAGATGGTTATTGCTTGGGTTTTTGAAACGGAAAATGAACTGGAGCGGCCAGATCAACCCAGACCTAGGGTCAAAATCGAGTTCTTAAAGGACCTTCCTGCAGTCTGAAGGCGAGCTGACCCAGACAGGTCAGGAAACAGCAGGACCTCAGGTACCTGGCGAGCAGTAAGCGGGAGCTGGAAACGTAATGACAAAGTGTATTATCCCCGAATCATAATCAGTTTTTTGGGGGGAATTTACTCATATCTCTGCCACATTGTTCTAACAATTTAAGCTGTGTGTGTGTGTGTGTGTGTGTGTGTGTGTGAAATTTGTGCTAGTTTTGTTAATGGCTGCTTGACTGATGAGGCTGAGGTTTGGAGCTTAAGTGTTTTGGCTTCAAAGAAACTCTTAATTTTTCGAATGAGAAAAACTCAAGTAGATTTCTCAAGGTCATTAAAGTGAGAGATCTCAAACTTAAACCCAGGTCAGAGTCCTCAGAGGCCCACCAGGAAGTCATGGCTTATTCATGTGTGCAGAATGGCAGGTACATAGCTGTGTTCCCGTCTGTCACAGGGGCCCCAACAGGCTCCCGCCTGGCCTCCAAGGCCCTGCCTTCTAGGACCCCCAGGCCTCTCCAGCTCCCGCTTACTGCTCGCCAGGTACCTGAGGTCCTGCTGTTTCCTGACCTGTCTGGGTCAGCTCGCCTTCAGACTGCTCACATGGCTTAGCCATGTGCCCCAGGGAGGCATTCCTGACCCCTGTCTACAGCAGGACCCTCCAGCCTGACTTAGTACCTGACAGGCCGTTACTTCCTGCAGAGCCTGGGCACAGTGTGAAATCCTGTTTATTTACTTAAGATCTGTTCCCCTTAGCCTCCCCTCCACCAAGATGTGAGCTCCTGGATACCGCAGCCTTTTCTGTGTTTTTTTCAGAGCCGTATCTCCAGGGCACAGAATAGGTAGGTATTCAATAAATCCTTGATGAATGAGCGGTACGGTACCTTAGCTGTGTTCACATGGACTAACCAACTGTCCTCCATGAGCTCGTCAGAGGGCTCTGACGGACGAACCAAACTGTCCTTCATGTCTGATCCTGCCAGCAGTGTGTATCTAGTCACACCTGTAAGTGACAGTGTTGGGGGAAATGGTTCCTCTCTCTGTATTTTGTGTTTGATTTGTGTGCTTTATTTCTGGCCATTTTTTAACAAGGAGAATGAGAAACTTGCCCCCAAAACCACCTTTTCACCCGCCTTTTTTACAGCTGTTCCCAGCCTGTGTCATGCCTTGCCCTCACCCTGACCCCAGGTGGGCAGATACCTGGCAGGGAGTGCCTCCTTCCTCCAGGGCAGTCTCAGAGGGCGTGGGCTTTCAGCACGTTAGGGTGGAGGAAGGGAAGGAGTTGTGGCTCAGTGTCACCAACTCACTAGGCTGGGTCCCTGTCACTGGTTCTACCATAAGCAGAAGGAAGCCCCGTTTCGTTTCCCCTTCCTCCTGGGTTCTGTTCAGCAGCTAGAACTGTCCCATCTTCCTCAGGAATCCTTGCACAGGGACGCATTGTCTACCTGCTGAGGCCAAGAGATCCCGAGTCAGTTGCTGGGAAGTAGAAATCTAGTCCTAACCGCCCCAAACAGGCAGTGTGAGCCTGGCGGGTTCTGGAAACTCCCTGGGTCTGTTACATCATCTGCCTTTACCTAGGTTGTATGCGCATATTTTAGAGAGAGACAACTATCAACCCAAACAAGAACCCTGTGGCTTCCCCTCGGGCCACAGAGAGGCTGCCAGGAGCCATAAAGCCAGTGCTTCCTAATTTGGGTCCAGCAGGACAGATTGGACTTCTAGGCCTGTGGTCCAGGCCAGAACCCTCCAGTTCACTCTGGTTGGGCTGTTTGGGCCCAGGCCCGCCCCTGGACCAGGGATTGGCCAGGAAAATGGAAAGTGTTGACCAAGTTAAACCAACCAGAACATATCCTTCGACCAGGCGTGGGGTCAGCTCCTGGTAAGTGTGTGGCACTGAAATCTACTTGAAGATGGGGTGGGGATGGATGCTGAGGGGGTAGTCAACAGTGCCCTGTAAGTATTTGACACAGTTCAGGTGTGGCTCCTGCCATTAGGGAGTGGCCTAGGGAGTGACTCATGGGATGGGAGGTGGGTTATAAAACAGTATGGAGTTTCCTCAAACATTTAGATATGGAACTGCTATTTGACCCAGTGATCCCACTTCTAGGAATATATCCCAAGAAATGCAAAGCATCAGTCAGGAAAAATGTATGCAGCCCTATATTCATAGCAGCACAATCTACAATATCTAAGATCTGGAAACAGCCCAAGTGCCCATCAGTAGATGAGTGGATAAAAAAGCTGTGGAACATTTATGCCATGGAATACTATGTAGCTGTAAAAAAAAAAAAAAAAAAAGAAGAAGAAGAAGAAGAAGAAGAATCTCTTACCCTTTGAGACAGCATGGAGGGACCTGGAGAGTATCATGCTAAGTGAAATAGGTGAATCAGAGAAAGACAAGTATCACATGATCTCACTCATATAGAATCTAATGAGCAAAATAAACTGATGAACAAAATAGATCCAGAGACATGGAAAAGTAGAAACCATGGGCAAAGAAAGAAAGAAATGGTTGAGAATTATATGATTAGGAATTTGAAATAAACCAGTGGGAAAAAAACAACACACAGAAAATGAAACATGGGAGGGAGGAGAGAAGCAATTATATTTAATGAATTTGTAACAAAAAGTATTGGTGAGGCTGTGGAGAAAAGGCAACCCTGGTGCTATGTCGGTAGGAACGTAAACTGATGCAGCCACTATTGAAAACAGTATGGAGGTTCCTTGGAAATTTGAAAATAGAACTGCCATATGGTCCAGCAATTCCACTTCTGAGTATTTATCTGAAGAAAACTTAATTGCTGTCTCAAAAAGATAATATGCACCCCATGTTCATTGCAGCATTATTTACACAGCCAAGACATGGAAACAACCTAAGTGTCCAAGTACAAAGGGATAAAGAGTACAACCCTGGTTGGGTAGCTCAGTTGGTTGGAGCATTGTCCCTATGTGCCAAGGTTGTGGGTTCAATCCCAGGTCCTGGCACATACAGGAATCAGCCAATGAATGCATATATAAGTGGAACAATAAATCCATGTTTCTCTCTTCCTTTCTCTAAAATCAGTTTTTTAAAAAAAACCAGGCTGGTGTTGCTCAGTGGTTGGGTGTTGACCCACAAACCAGGAGGTTAAGGTTCAATTCTTAGGGCACATGACCAAGTTTCGAGCTCCATCCCCAGTAGGGCGTGTGCAGGAAGCAGCCAATCAATGATTCTCTCTCATCATTGATGTTTCTCTCTCTCTCTTGCTCTCCATTCCTCTCTAAAATCAATAAACTTATTTTTGAAAAAAGATGTGGTACATGTATACAATGGAACATTATTCAGCCATAAAAAGAAGGGAATTCTGTCATTTGCAACAACATGAATTAATCTTGAGAGCATTATGCTAAGTGAAATAAGTCAGAGAAAGACATACTATATGATCTGCTTATATGTGGAATCTAGAAAAATGAAGAAACACAAACGCATAGATACAGACAACAGATTAGTGGTACTAGAGGTGGAGATGGGGGTGGGCAGGGTGGAGATAGTGGGTGAAATGGGTGAAAGGTAGTCAAAAAGTACAAATGGCCAAACTTCCAGTTATAAGAAAAAATAGTCCTGAGACAATGGGGATGGTAGTCTACAATACTGTATTGTATATTTGGAGTTTGCTAAGAAAGTAGATCTTAAAAGTTCTCATCACAAGAAACCAGTGGACGGTGAGCAGAGCCTCTCAGAAATCCGTCAGCATCTCTCATTTCCAATCTCCACTGTGGCCTTCTTCCTCTCCTCCCGCATGAGGAAGGGGGATCTTAGCGTGTGATGGGTGCGGGTGTCTTGGGAGAAGACGGGTGCTCCTGGGCCTTCGTGGGGCAGGGACCCGGGTCCTGCTGGAGCGGGGGACTCGTCTTGGCCACCACGATTTCGTCCACAGTGGCCAGCTGCAGCACGATGTCCACCACGGCCCGCAGCGCTTGGGCCTTGGCCGCCAGGGTGTCCCACACCTCTTCCTGGGCCACGTTGATGATCCCCTCGACCCCCACTCCTATCAGGAAGTGCCCTTGCTGGTGCGCGGCCGTCATGTCTGCCATCACCTGGGAGACGACGAGGCCCGCGTTCTCCGCCAGGGTGGCGGGGAGAGACCGCAGGGCCTGGGCAAACGCCAGGAGCGCGGGCCCGCTGGGCCCTTCCAACGCGGCGCCTTTATCCGCGAGGATTTTCGCCAGAGCCATCTCGGTGGCCCCGGCGCCCGGGAGCAGCCGGGGGTCCTGGCACAGCTGCGCGAAGGCGTCGATGCCGTGGTAGACGGCCTGCTCCGCCCCGCGCAGCCCCTCCTTAGTGGCCGCCCTGAGCACCAGGGTGAGGGCGGGGGTGTCGGAGCCCTCCCACTCAAACACCACGGCCGAGCCCTGCCCCAGCTCCTGCGGGTACACGCGCTGGCACTTCCCCAGCTGCAGCGGGGGGAGCAGATAGGGCATCACGGGCGTGCCCAGCACCTCGCTCAGGCACGCCAGCTCGCGCAGGGCCTTCACCTGGATCACCACGATGCCGCTCCGGTCCGCCTGCGCCAGCGCCCGCTCCTCGACGTCCCCCCACACCACCGCCACGTTCACGTTCCCCGTGGCCAGCTGCAGCACCTGCTTCTCCGTCATCTGCTCGTTCCCTATCTGAAAGCGGGCGAGCTCGGCGGGGCTGGAGATGGTGGCAGTGGCGGGCGCATTGGGATGCGCGAGGCCGAAGGAGCAGGCGAAGAGCGCCACCCGGGCGCCGCCCACCACGGCGGTCACCTTCCCGCAGGACTTGCCGGGCACGGCCAGCCCGGGCAGCAGGCACGAGCGGTCCAGCTGCCCGCCCCGCAGCGCGCACACGCCCAGGCGCTCGGGGCGGAAGGTGCCGTCCTGCTCCTGGGCCTCCCAGCACGCCTGCGCCACCAGCCTGGTCAGGAACTCCGCGTGGGACAGCGTGTGCGTGTTCATCGCCGTGTGCAGGACCCAGAACGGGTCCTCCAGGGGCCCCAGCGAGCGCACGGCCAGCGAGGGCAGCAGCTCCAGCGTCTCGGCGGTGGCCGCGGCGTAGGCCTCGCGGAGCTGGGCGCGGGGCAGGCCGGCCCGCAGCAGGAGCTCGGCCTCGGCCAGCAGGGCCTCGGCCAGCAGCACCACGAAGGCCGCGCCGTCGCCGCTGTGCTGGGCGTGGCTGAGCGCCGCGTCCCGCAGGAGCCGGGCGGCGGGGTGCTCCAGCTCCAGGGCCCCCAGGATGGCCGTGGCGTACCCCGTGATCACCGTCTCGCCCTTGGCGGTCACTAGGAGCTTCTGGAGGCCGAGGGGGCCGTAGCACGGCCGGATGATCCCGCCCAAGGCGTGCGCCGCCGCCAGGCTCCGCAGGAGGTGCTGCTCTCCGCCCCCCGGGCCCGGCCACAGCCGCTGGGGCAGCTCCCGCACCGAGGGGACTCCGCCGTCCATGGCCTGCGGAGAGGGGCCCACCCTGCTGCTGGCCTCCCAACGCCGGCCTCTGAAGATCCTCAAGGAATCAGTGGACAAAAGGACGCATCACCCGCTGTCTGGAGACATCAGCCCTCCAGGCGCAGGGCCGGTGACCTGCTGAGAGCGCCAGCCTGAAACCACCCCAAACGGATCTGTCAGGGAACCGGCTCTTGGGGCCTCTGAGGGTGGGAAGCTGAAAGGGATCCTCTCTTGATGACCTCACAGAGTGGCACGTGGAACCCGGAGCGGGGAATGAGGTCACAGGATGGTCGGAGTCTGTAGGGGCTGGGGGCAGGCAGAAGTCAGGCCTGGTGGTTCGGTGATGAGGGCCAGGCCTATGCGCCAGGCCCCAGTTTCATTTAAACTTTGGAGACGAAGAGGAAGGAGTCAGGTGAAAATACCGACCCACTGCTTTAGCCGTGGCCCCCGCTGTGCTGTCTGACGCCAGCCAGGCTGTTCCCTGTCTGCCTTGGCCGCCTTGGCCGCCTTCTCCGTCCGTGCTATTCATCGGGGGGCCTTCGGGCGTCTGTTGGTCTGTTTATCTTTCAGGTTGCAGGTGTGTGAGGCCACAGAGTGTGACAACTCCTCCCAGTGACAGTGAGGTCACTGATCTGGCAGAGACAGGACAAGGCGAGGGAGGGAAAGAAGCGGACAGCCTAGACAGAAAGGACCCAGAGGAGTGAAAGTGGTGACGAAGGTAGAAAACCCGTGTCTGAAGTTGGGGCCCTCCCACATCACCCTCCACCCTTAGAAGGTAAGTTTCTTTCCCATCCTCGCTCCCTCCTTTCCTCGTGTAGAGCCTGTTGGAGTAAATGATTGCTTCTTTTTCGGTTTAACAAATATTTATTGAGCACCCACAATGTACAGTGTAAGGAGTACAGAGATGACAGGAATATAGAGCCTCTCGCGGGAGAGAGATTTCTCCAAAGGAACACAACTTCCCACACAACTTCCCATAGGTGCTAGGCAGGGCACCAGCTGGTGGACATGAATGTGTCTATTTATTTCATCTAGAGCAGCGGTTCTCAACCCCCCTTTGGGGGGTCGAACGACCCTTCCACAGGGGTCGCCTAAGACCATTGGAAAACACATATATAATTACATATTGTTTTTGTGATTAATCACTATGCTTTAATTATGTTCAATTTGTAACAATGAAATTGGGGGTCACCACAACATGAGGAACTGTATTAAAGGGTTGCGGCCTCAGGAAGGTTGAGAACCACTGAAGAAGAAGGGAGAAAGAATGAGAGAAACATTGACCTGTTGTTCCACTTATTTATGCATTCATTGGTTGCTTCTTTTTAAAAAATATACTTTTATTGATATCAGAGAGGAAGGGAGCGGGAGAGATGGAAACATCAATGATAAGAGAGACTCATTGATTGGCTTCCTCCTGCACACCCCCTACTGGGGATCAAGTTCGTAACCCAAGCATGTGCCCTTGACTGGAACTGAACCCAGGACCCTTCAGTCCACAGGCCCACGCTCTATCCACTGAGCCAAACCAGCTAGGGCTCATTGGTTGATTCTTGTATGTGCCCTGACTGGGGATCAAGCCCGCAACCTTGGCATATGGGGACGATGTTCCAACCAACTGGGCCACTTGTCCAGGGCGGAATACTGGTATAGCTATTATGATTAGGGGAAAGATGGCCCTGGCCGGTGTTGCTCACTGGTTAGAGCGACCAGCCCTCGCACTGAAGGTTGGATTCTGGGTAAAGAGCATGCACCTGGGTTGCAGGTTCGAACCCAGGCCTCAGTGGGGGCACATGTGGGAGGCAACCAATCGATGGCATATTGATGTTTCTCTTTCTCATCACCAACTCCCCACACCCGCTGCGCCTTTCCACTCTCTCTAAAAAGCAATGGAAACAATATCCTCAGGTGAGGATTAACAACAACAAAAAGGGATTAGGGGAAAGACAGAGCAATACCATTCATTTTCATTTGGAAAAACCTTTTTACTTTGTTTAATGGGGGATGTTCCTGGGGAGGGGGGAATAGAACTCTGAAATGGATAATGACAGTCCCGAGTCATGATGGCATGACAGACGTTGTTTTAATATTTCCACAGACAAGACAGTAGTGAGAAAGAAAAGAAATCACAGTGAAAGTGAAATACAATTAAGGCTAAAGAGGAGATAATTTTGGAGAAAAAAAACTTTTCCCTTAACAACTTGATTGCTTTTATAAAAATTATAGTTATTTATTATAAAAGTTAAAAAGAAAAATACAAAGAAAGTAACTAGGTATGTAAAGTACAGCACAGGGAATATTGTCAATAATCCCATGAGAACTGTGGATGGTGCCAGGTAGGTCCTAGACTTATCGGGGGACCACTTTGTAAATTGTGTCTCACCACAATGCTGTACGCCTGAAACAAATATAAAATAATATTGAATGTCAACTGTAATTGACAAATTTTTTTATTTTTATTTTTATTTTTTAAAATATGTTTTTATTGATTTCACAGAGTGGAAGGGAGAGGGGGAGACAGAGAGAAACATCGATGATGAGAGAGAATCATGGATTGGCTGCCTCTTGCACGCCCCCCACTGGAGACCGAGCCCAAAACCCGGGCATGTGCCCTGACCGGGAATCGAACCGTGACCTCCTGGTTCCTAGGTCGATGCTCAACCACTGAGCCATGCTGGCCGGGCGACAAATTTTTTTAAAAAGAAGGAAGAAAAAGAATGTTATTTGGAATCTCAGCCCAGAGATAATCCTTGTTTATATTTCGATGAATGTGATTACTTTAAACATACATATACACAGAAAGTTGTGGACTGACACAGTTTGACAGAAGTGGGTTGTATGACACATATTGTATGTGCTGCTCTGTAGTCATTCTCCCCTCGGCATTATCTTGGCTGAGAGAGATGTTTCTAAGTAGGTGTTATGCTGTCTGCAGACTATGGACACCCCTTTTTAAGCAGCAGCAGCAGCTCAGGAGCAGCCTCTGGTTTCCAGGACGGGCACTGAGATGGCATGTTGGTGTCACCACTGCCCTATGGACAACTCTTTTGACAACTCGTTGATTTTGGAGACTCCATGAGAAACAGGCATGATCCTCTCCACCCAGGTTTCTGAAAGCCAGCAACACTGGGCACAGTGTCACCTAAGAAATGTTGCTTATAGGCGGCAAAGATGACTTGCCAGTTTCTTTATAGAAATGTACATTGTGACAACCAACGTAAAATGTAGCAAGGTGTGCACATATACATTGTTTATAAAGATACAGTTTCTTCTTAAAAAGTAAACACTCCTGTAAAAGATTCTTAGATCTTTTTCTTAAGCATGTTTTCCCATTTCTTTCACTTATTACACAATTATTTATTGAGCTGCTGCTGAATAATATGTATAAAAGGTGAATAAGACAGACAGCTGTGGCTGTCTCCACTGGGCTTAGAGTGGGCTACAGACAGCTAATTCAAACTCATTACAGGCCCGGGGGGGAGCCTTGATGAGGTAAAGCTCAGGTGTTATAGAAACATGGGGGAGGGGAACACATAACCATCCCCATGGGAAGAACGGTGGTCTGGAATGGAAGTGAAGTCTAAAGTATGAGCTGAAGGAAAGGAAAATAAAAGAAATGGGGATTGGGACAAGCTGGTAAAGGGTGTTGTCCACCAAAAGTAGTCCTGAAGGCTGCAGCTCCTGGTGAGGAGGAAGGGAAGGGGCTAGCACAGTGGTTCTCAACCTTCCCAATGCCGAAACCCTTTAATACAGTTCCTCATGTTGTGGTGACCCCCAACCATAAAATTATTTTTGTTGCTACTTCATAACTGTAATTTTGCTACTGTTATGAATCGTAATGTAAATATCTGATATGCAGGATGTATTTTCATTGTTACAAATTGAACATAATTAAAGCATAGTGATTAATCACAAAACAATATGTAATTATATGTGTTTCCGATGGTCTTAGGTGACCCCTGTGAAAGGGTCGTTCGATCCCCAAAGGGGTCGCGACCCACAGGTTGAGAACCGCTGGGCTAGAAGGAGGTGACTGGAGGGTGGCAGGGGCTCCAGAGAGCCATGCCAAGGAATTTAGATTTCATCCTGAAGGGTGATCGATGGACTGTGAGTTCCATTTCCATTGGACAAGTGTATCATTTTCTGGTGTGAAATCCTCACCTGTTTGAGTACACAGGACAGGGGAAAGTGACCATTTGATCGCTGTCTCTGACCCTTAAGGACGGCCAGTCTCATAAAACAGGCCTCAAACTATACATTCTACACTCATTTTTTTTTTTACTTATCTTTACACAGATCAAACCAGCCAAGGAACTACTAAATCTTGATTTTACTTTTTACTATGTGGACACAGCCATTGTTAAATTCACTTTGATTTTATTTAACCTTCAGATCAATTGGATGTAAAATAAATGTTAAGTACATTTTTGTGTGTGCCAAGAAGAGTTTGCATGCAGTTAACCCATTCCATACAATTGTCTGACAGTATACACCTTGATCTACTAAGATGGGTAGGCATCAATGTAGGCTGTTCGGTAGTTATATCCTTACCAGAACCTGAGATGTGACCTTACTTAGAAACAAAACTGTGGCAGATATGATGAATTAAGACGAGGTTATACTGGAGTAGGGTGGATCCTGAATGTAATATGACTGGGATCCTTACAAGAACAGAAGACACACACGCAACATGGCCACGTGGCGATGGAGGCCGAGATTGGGGTGATGCCCCTGCGAGCCAAGAATGCCACGGACTGTGGGCAGCCACCAGAAGCCGGGAGGAAGACGTGGAACAGATTCTCCCTCAGAGCGTCCGGAAGAAACCAGCCCTGCCAACACCTTGATTTTGGACTTCTAGTTACCAAAACCGGAAGAGAGTAAACTTCTGCTGTTAAAAGCTGCCCAGTTTGTGGTTGTTTGGTGCAGCATCCCCAGGAATCTATACGGTGGTCTTGCATGTCAATAAAGGAGAGGAACCTAAGAAAGTGTGTGTGTGTGTGCGTGTGTGCGTGTGTGCGTGTGTGCGTGTGTGCGTGTGTGTGCGTGTGTGTGTGTGTGCGTGTGTGTGTGTGTGTGTGCGTGTGTGCGTGTGTGTGTGTGTGTGTGTGTGTGTGAGAGAGAGAGAGAGAGCGCGCGCGCATTTCTAGGAGTCTGTGACACTTGCTGGCAGAATGTTTTCTAGGCCACCTCTTGTGAATAGACACACTGTCTGCTGACTTGTCCCATTCCTGCCCTTCCCCTCAAACGCCTATGGTCATGCACACAATGGATATCAATATTTAATCTTTCTGTTTGCATGTTTTTCCATGTTTATTTTTCAGTTGCCTGCTCCTCCCTCTTTTATTTTGTTAAGAAGTGCCAGGCTTAGAGTGTTCACCCCCAGAGGGCAAGATTCTTATCTTTTTAAAATGTGCTCAGAAGGCCTACTGACTCATACCCCAGACTCTTCTACACATATTATTGTTATTTTTAATTTATTTTAGAAAGAGGAAAGGGGAGAGATAGAGAAACATCAATGTGAGAGAGAGGCATTGATGGTTGCCTCCCATACACGCCCCGTACGGGAAGATGCTCCAACCAACGAGGCCACACGGGTCAGGGCCACAAATTATTTTTGAAGGTGATTGTTTTGGTTGTGTCTTCTAAGTTTTTCCCTTTAACTTTTCTATCATACTGGTACATGGTCTGCATTACTGAAATAACTTATGCAAAGTAATATGAATTTTAAAAGCTAAAAATGCACCACAGAATAAATATGAGTGAATTTTAAGTGATTGAAGTTATTTTTAAAACATTTTTTTCTGCTGAGAAATAAAGGAGAAAACAATGATAGCCATTCATGCAGCTTTTTAAAGTGTAAATTTGATAGTAAAAATATGAACTCAAAATGGTATAATTTAGGATTTAAGTTTTCAGTGGTCTTTCCCCAACTGTAAAAGTTTGGTTCCTAAAAAACTCTGAGGAATAAGGGAAAACACAAAGAGAGGAACAACAATCATCAGTGAGTCTATAGGAGATCTTATCAGTATTTTTACATTCTCGCCCTGGCTGGTGTGGCTCAGTTGGTTGGAGAGTCATCCCTTGCAAGGAAAGATTGCTGGTTTGATTCCTGGTCAGGGCACATACCTAGGTTTTGGGTTCAGGTTTGATCCCTGGTGGGGGTGTGTACAGGAGGCAACCAATCGATGTTTCTCTCATCAAAGTCTGTCTCTCTCTAAAAAAAAGTAACCATATCCTCTGGTGAGGAGATATATTTTACATTCATTAAAAGTGATAAAGACAACTCTGAATAAAGACCATGTCAATGATACTTATAGGCCTTCAAATAGTGAGAATGGGTACTGTACTATGACTTTTTATTCACTACCACTTGTTTGCTAGACTCTGAGAATCTCATTTGCTTACAGTTCATGAGGTTTTTTTGTTGTTGCAGATAAAAAACGCTTCCTCTACCTACATTTTAAATATTTAATATATATTTCTGATTATACTACCTGTGCTTAGAAAGATTATATTATTATAGAGAAAGGTAATATAGAAAGTAAAAGTTCCCATAATCCAACCTCCTGAGATGATTGCAGTTTGGTACATACCTACCATATTGGGAAAAATGCCTATTTAACGCTTACTGGATAGAAAGTAGACTTTCCTTTTTTATTTTTCCCCCCCAGATGCTCCTGCCTTTCTAACTTTATAATTTGGAGGCACCTCAGCTACCTGCCTTCTGGATTTGTGGTCTCAGAGCTGTGTAATTTGGATAATGGAGATAGAAAAACCTTTGAAAAGCTTTGTTGAACAATTATTTCTTGAATACTTCATCTGCATCCTGAGTTATATTTTATTTGTTCTGCCTGTGGTAACTTCATGGGGACAAGCCTACTAGCCTTTTTAAAACAGATCCCAGCGACTTGGCTGCTCACACTACCCAAAGGAATAGAGAGGGAAGGCTGGGCTTACTCATCATCACCGTCTTTTATCTGTCCAGAAGCACCACTGCACAAACCTCTACCCTTCCATTCGTTCCGCCCACTTTCTGTCCGTAGTCCTTACTTGTTTCCTTTTATTTATTTTTTAAGGGTCTTGAAATATACCTTTTAAATATTTTTTAAAAAATATTTTTATTGATTTCAGAGAGGAAGGGAGAGACAGAGAGAAAAATAGAAATATGAGTGATGAGAGGGAATCATTGATCAACTGGCTCCTGCACATCCCTCACTGGGGACTGAGCCTGTAACCTGGGCATGTGCCATGACTGGAATCGAACTGTGACCTCCTGGTTCATAGGTCAATGCTCAACCACTGAGCCATGTTGGCTGGGCAATACCTTTTTTTAAAATATATTGATTTGAGAGAGAGAGAGAGAGAAACATTGATTGGTTGTTCCATTTATTTATGCATTCATTGGTAGATTCCAGCATGTGCCCTGACTGGGGATGGAAGCCGCAGCCTTGGCTTATTGGGAGGATGCTCTAACCACTGAACAACCCGGCCAGGGTCCTTGTCATTTCCTTTTAAAACGCCTTTCCAGCAGGAGTGACTTGCAATTTGCACACACTGACACTTAAATTCCCCCAAGTGTTGAAGAAGTGAACTTAATTATCCAGATACATAATTTTGTGCACATTTGAAAATGGCTGTTCTAATTCCAGCATTGAACCCAGATAAACATTTGGATCAATAATCCAATTTTTCAAAGTTTAAAGTGCCAAGTGTAGAAAATAAGAAAATGGGTAATAATAAACTTTGAATATGCCACTTCATACATTTATCATTTGTCACAGATATGTTGTATTTCTATGCATAATAGACACCTTTAATTTATAGTTTGCATTTACCAAGCCAGCTTCTCCCCAAGCTCAAAATTCCCTTGGCTGTAAATTTAGTCAACTTGGAAAAGCCAGTTGGGAATAAGCCCTGAAGGAATTCAAATGACTATCTTATTAGAGTCATCATTTCAAAAAATGATGCTTTTAGTCAGAATACACTCTGGAAATCAAATTGTGTATTTTGCTCAACTAGGAAACACAGTTTAAA